ATATATTAAGAAATCTTAACCCATCCAATAAATTATAATCCTTTCATCCCTAGAATCATCCATCCATCCCATGATGGAACTTGCTAATCTTTTCCCATACTTCATCAATGTGATTTTCTTTGCTAGCCTTTTGTGTTGCACCTTGTCAAAAACCTTTTGAAAATCTAAATATACTAGTCCACATCCTTTCCATCATTCAGATAACACGTGACATCATCAAAAAACGTTATCAGATTAATAGGGAGACATTTACCTGGAAATAATCCATGTTGGTTTTCTTTTATGATATTATATGTATCGCTAGACGATTTTGCAAAGCCTCTTTTACCAGACTCTTTAGACTTATTACCACTACAAGATATAAGACTACCTGGTCTGTACTTTTCAGGACAACTCTTATCACCCACTTTAACATTAGGATCTTTCCAAACCTTAGACACCTACCCCCTGTCTGTTTGCCTACCAAAAATGAAATTCAGAGGCTTGCATATCAAATAGTTGACTTCTTTTAAAACCCTGTGAAAAATATTGTCTGGTTCTAGTGCTTTATTTTTATTCTCTCAGTCTTTCTTTTTGTCACCAAGGGATTATTACTTATATGATTCAGATAATCCAAAATTTTATTTTCTCATAGAATTTTTAGACTAAGAAATATTGCTAAAATCGTATTCTCTTGTATAAAGAGAAGAAAACATTTAAAAGTATAACTTTTTTGTAGTATTCAACAAAAATGTTGCCATCAGCATCCTTTAAGGGCCCAATCCTCATTTTAATATCTTACTTACTTTTAACACACTTAAAAACATCTTTGCTGTTACTGTTAACATTATCAGCCAGCTCTTTCTCATAAACACTTTTGATTTCCTCATTTATTTCTAAGCTAATCATTAGCCTTCCTATTCTGTAAATCTTTCAACTTATCTGTGAGTGGTGTAGTGTACTGTATGTTTCTGAGCCTACTGAAAATGGAAATCAAGCCCATAATTCTCATAAAGAATCCTATTGTGGCACCTTTTGCACCCTTTGAACTTCACTGCACTTATCCCTGAACTCTCTCTAACCATATTGAAGGTATGTTAACATTAGTCTTGATTCTCTGTTAATAGTAATATCAATGTGGTCACCCAATATTTGTAAATTGAACTCAAATTAAGCTAGTACACAATTTATAGATTAAATTGATGCTAATTCTAATGCTAAAATTCCCTGTTAATTATTGTTGATACTATTAATTACTACAACTACAATTACAGATGTACATGTCTAGTTATGCTTAACTAATTGCTAATTCTAAACAATTTACTAAAAACTTAGCATCTACTAAATAATAGTTGTAATGATAATTTCGACTCTCATTTACAATAAATTATCCTTCATATTTAGTTAACTCTTCTGTTAATTCCTTATTTAAATCAAATAATATTATTACCTTAAATTACTATAAATATGTATAATCAAATTTAAAGTTATACTAAATCTTTTTGCATGAAGAAAATTCCACTAATTGTTGAGAATGTTTATGTTTTGGAAAAAATAAGAGAAAATGTTTCTGTGAAAAGTGTCAAGTAAGTATATTAGGTATACAATTAGTTTCTTGTAAGTGATATAACTTATTTACTCATATGTTTTTATTTCATTATGCTACTGTAATTTATCCATACCTGATAATGAATTATTTGAGAAATTCGGTATGGGAAAGGTACAAGAAGAAATGGCTGTCACTTATGTTTTGGATATTGTTTACTTAATTTAATTTTAGTACTTATAAGATTGTCAACATCATAACTCACAAGCTAATGAGAATGTAAGTTCTATTTTTTTAATTTGTAAAACTCATTTGATTAGACATAAATTTTCATAGTTAAATACCTAAAAGCGTTTAAAACGAATTCTAGATGAAAGTCTGTAACAATTTGGGAATTTCAGTGCATATAAATTAAAAATTTTATACAATACTGTTTTTTCAGGACGTTAAGCGCTCAGTCACCCATCTACAAGGGGGAGCAATGGGTACTGCAGAAATCATTGTTTTTAAGGTTAGTTATAGAAATAGTGTAGTATACCATTCTGTGAAAGAGGTAACTCAAATCCTATTATCCTGTAATAAATACTTGTATATAACTGTAGCTTTTCTGTATATTAGCATGTGAATACAAAATTACTTGTATATTTCTGAACAAGATAGTAATATTGTTTTGACAGACACATGATTCTGAACACAATATGTACAATTTACCTTCTGTCTTTATTAGCAAGGGAATTATTAAAACTTGTTTTTTACTCTGATGCAAGTTTTAGAGATCATTTGGTATTGGTAATGAAAATATGTGTTTGCATATTTATCAAGCTGTTGTAATCAATTACTGACTGTGTCTAATGCTTCTACTTTAAGCTGTTAGAAACCCAGATATTATTTACTTTTACATTCCTTGCATTCATCATGTAAGTAGATTTTTATCAGGGTCGTCTTTAGCTACTTAAATTATTGACTCTTAGCTTTGGCTTTTGGGGGGTCTTCTATCTTAACCCACATACGTTTTCTGCTGTGTGCCATGATTTGTCTTGTTTTAAGACTTTTTTTTTTCTGTACAGTTATTAGCTATTCTCATTCTCCTTTTAGTTAGGAACAAATACATCTACCTTGCAGTCTTCATTAATTGCAAATCTCACTGATGTTATTTCTGTTACCTTGTGGTTATTAGGTTCCTTTGATCTTTAGCTTATCATGCTGTGTTGCAAGGTGCTTGCCATAGTCCAACATTTCACCTGACCTTAAAAGAGCTTCTTTCCTGCATTGTTTTTTCTTTGCAGGTATTTAAACCAAACAGATTTCCTGTTCATGAGAACCATGCTAGCAGGAGTTAATTAGGATTTTAGCATCTCATTTTTCTTCTGCTCATCAGATCTCTTCAAGATGACAAGTTAGTAATGTTCATTCTCTGCCTTATTCTCCTGAGGTAATTTTCATTTGACACCCACTACATTTAGTTGTACCTTCTCGACTTTTTCATGTGACCAAACAGCAACGTAAGATAAATAGGCCTTTTTTTTAACCCACTCATTAATTTTTTTTCTTTCTGGGTGAGTCTTCTGCCTGAACTTTTAGGGGATCTTTTTTGGTCATTTGTTCATCTATGGGACCATTGGTTGCAAGATTCTTGGGTTTGAGAGATCCTTCAGTTTGGTCTTTACTTTCATTTTCATCATCCTTACTCAGATCAATCACTAATTTCTTCTCTTTCTTCTGATCCTGTTTGTTTACAATTTCTGGATCAGGAAGTTTCAGATTGCCTTCAGAAAGGAGCAGTAGAAATTGTTTATCATGCTTCTCCAAGTTTTTTTACTTCAGTCTTTTTGTAGTCTCAAAGAAAATGAGAGATTGGAGACCTGTTCATCTGTCTTTACCTGTATACAATTCAGTTCAAAATGAAATGCATGAGGATGTTATGAAGATTTCTTTGTCAAGGCCATTGGATAACAAAGGTGGATATATAGGATGCTTACCTTCATATTCCTTTTCTTCTGTCATCACATCATTTTATTTGTTTATGCTATGGGGTGGGGGTTGGTTTATCAGTTCACTGCTACCCCCCTTTGACTTGGCCTTGGCTCAATATCTTTTCTGTCAAGTAGTAAAAGTGTTTGCTGTACTGTTCAATTACTTTAACATTGAGTTCTACTTTAACATGTACTGTTGGGTTATTCTGATCCTTATATCCACTTAGCTTCTTATACACACATTCATTTGACCACCCAACTGACTACATCTCTTAGGTGGATCATCCATGACTCCAAATCCCATTTAATATTGATTCAGGATTTGATACTTCTAGAATTTTTAATCAACATGCTTCAAGGAACACTTAAGCTATCTCCTATGGTGTTGAAATCCTTGGAGTCATGTGTTAATATTTTTCTGTCTTCTACACCTACCGCCACAGACATCCTTTCTACTTTGCGAATGATGGCCTCATTTCATGAAGTCATTCTGTATGAGCATGCTCATATGTGTCATCTACAATGTGAACTTGCTTCTCAGAGGTGTTTAACTTCAGATCTATTATTATTCAGCTAAGTTCTCCTTGTTCCTCCACCTTGGCTTGCTCAACCTTGGTTTCCCCCTTTACATCAACTTTCTCATAGGCAAGTAATTCCATTGCCACTGTGGAATGATCTTCTGTGACAACCTTTGATGTTCATTCTTCACAACAACTTCAGTGTCTATGATTTCACAGGTGGCTTTTGTCAGATCCTTTGTCCAAAAAGCTGGATTCCCTTCATGAGTGGCTTGAATGTTAGCCCATTCTAACAGATCCTTTTTTCTGGTTATTTATTAGTCTCACTGGGCTATCTTTCAGAGTTGGTGTATTAGACATGTTATATCTTATTTTTATTAACATATTACTTACTTCTTTATGTATTTGTTACATAATTATGACTTATCAGTTTTTTAATATAGCTGATTACAGAGCTGTTCTATCTTCCACATTCAGATGCCTTGGAACGAATTGAACCCTTTTGTTCCTGTTATTCAAAGAACTCTTTCAAGCCTTTTGTTTTCAATGATACTAGATTCCTAGGTATTGTTCTAAATGTGACATGTCTGTGGTATTAGATTTCTTTGTTACTCCTCCTTTTGAACCCTTAGTAACTTGTTTGCTCTATCATTTTTCTCTCAAATTATATTTCCTTATATTACTGACATTGAGTAGATGCCATTTTGACATCTATGCCTTCAATGCTTGTTGTGCCTTTTTTTGTTTAAAGCATTATATTTTTACCTTGATGACGTTGGAAAACAATTAGGTTCAAAAAGTCTTAATAGGAATGAATAAAAACCCTGTAACCCGAGCACTTTCGAAAGGTGGACCTTTCTTCTACTGGGGCAAACTGGGAATGGTGGTGTAATCGAATGATTACATCTACCGAATAACAGCTATGTTAATGAGCCCAAACTTCTTTCTGACTTTTATGAATTCTCTAGAAAACTGAGACTTCGTGAATTTTTTCACATCAAACCTTACCTTACTGAAAATCAACATACACCGAACTTTGAAGAAAAGTCTTTATGGACACCTCCACCAAACAGAGAACTACATTTAGACAGTTATATTAAAGCAGTAGAAAATGACATAATACAGACCTTAAAATCTTCCAAGCAATGTCCTAATAATGTTAACCAAAATGAAAGAAATACTTTAAACAATCTTAAATTGAACAACAATATTATAATAAAGCCAGCAGACAAGGGTGGGGATATTGTTATTCTTAACAAAGATAACAATATCACAGAAGCTAACCGGCAACTAGAGGACACTAAGTTCTACAAAAACAACTCTCACATGATCCTACAACTCAGTTTATTAAGACCATAACTGATAAGCTTAAAGAACTCCTCCCGAACAATAAAATTAACAAAGAGACCTTTCAGTATTTGATACCCAGACAAGCTTTTCCTGGTAGATTTTATCTCTTACTCAAAATACACAAACCGAACAATCCTGACTGACCAATAATTTCTGATATAAACATGGCTACTGAATAGCTCTCCACTTTTGTTGACCAACACATAAAATCTATTCCCTGTACCCTCTCCTCTTACATAAAGGATACTACTGACATTCTTAACATCATAGAAGATATTAATACTGACAGACCGTTACCACCCAACAGTCTTCTTTGCATGATGGATGTTTCTTCCTTTTACACCTATGTTCACATGATAAAGGACTACAAACTCTAAAGTTTGCATTAAACCTTTCTAACCAAACAGAATTTCAGACAGTAACTGATCTTGCCAGCCTGGTTGATTTAACTCTGAACAACCTCGAATTCAATAATGAGTATTACATTCAGGTTAACAGTACTGCTATGGGTACCAAAATGGTTCCCAATTATGCCAACATTTTTATGGGTCATAGTGAAAACCAGCTTTTACAACTAAGCCCTGTAAAACTTCATATATGGAAACGTTACATAGACGACATATTTTTCATTTGGACAACTGGACTTAAATCACTTAAAAAATTTATCTTACATGCAAACTCCTTTCACAAAACAATCAAGTTTACCTGTGATTACTCACCTACTCAGATTAACTTTCTTGACGTCACTGTTTTTCTAAAAGACAGAATTTTACATACTGACTTGTACAAAAAAACCTAGAAACAGACCACAATACCTTTACTATAAAAGCTGTCACCCCTCTCACACTAAACGAAACATTACCTACAGTCAAGCTCTTAGAATAAAGAAAATATTCTCAGATGAAACAGACTACAGAAAACAGACCGAGGATCTAAAACAAAACATGTTACAAAGAGGATACTGAAATTGACAAACAAATTGAAAAGGCTAACAACATTCAGCAGAAAAGCATCCTAAATCAGAGCAATACTAAACTTTCAAATAGAATTCCTCTCAATTCCTATCAATTTAAACTCGGAAACGTATCATGAATTCTGAAAAAGCATTTTCATCTCCTACAGCTCAACGATCATCTTAAACAGATATTTCCTGAAGTGTTGTTTTTTTCTTTCCAAAAAAGCAGAACTCTAAAAAATATCATTGTTCACACAAAAGTGAATTACATACCACCCAAAAGTGGTTGTCGTCCATGCAATATAGCCCATTGTGAAATCTGCAAGTTCATAAAAAAACACTGACTCATTTTCTGACAAGCACAATCAACGAAACTTTAAAATATCCAAAGAAATCACTTGTGGAACACAAAACACCATTTACCTTATACAGTGTTAAAAATGCAATCACCAATATGTAGGACATACACAAACAACTCTTAGGGAATGTTTCAACAACCATAAATCTTTTATTAACACTGAAAAAGATCTTCTTGTTGCTAAACACTTTAACCAACCTGATCATTCTGTTAATGATGTTACTTTCATTGGCATTGAAACAGGATTCAAAACTAAAGCAAATAGAGAAACAAAAGAAGCTTATTGGATTGCTAATCTGAACACTGTTCAACTTTTTGCAACTAATCTAGATCCTGGAATCAGTGATCCCCATTCATTGGTTTCATCTCTGTCAGAAAAATAATTTTTATTCTTTGCATTTTTTTTCGAGTAATGTGAACACTGAATTTCATAAAACTTACTATTTATTTAGGACAATTTTTCATACTTGTTTTTATTATAAATTGATTAGCATAACATATCTTTTCCAATCAATCTCCAGGTGTCACCTTTATTTTACTTAAACACTTAAGTATAGTTTTAAATATACATATATTTATCCATTTCTAAAGTAAAATATCACCAACACCTTTTCACATACGCTCTCGCCATCGGCTACATTATACCAGAAATTAGATACTTACAACAGTACATAAAAAATAGACTAAACATTTCCTGAAAAACAGGATGACTTTCATGACATCACTAAACTCCCTTTATATATATCACTCATTCAATTACACCACCATTCTCAGTTTGCCCCTAAAGAAGAAAGGTCTACCTTTCAAAAGCGCTCAGGTTATAGGGTTTTTATTCATACTTATACTTTGATCATGCTCTTCTATTTAAAACTTGAATTGCGAGAGAAGGTGACCATCATTTTTCATCTGTTATGTTATCTATCCTTGTTGATTCTAATTCTTTTTTTGAGAAGAATGCTTTTATGCCCCATCAGAGCTATTCATTTTTATCTCACATCTAGTTAATATGGGAAAGATTGTTTATATCTTACCACGAATCACATTCTTCAGATCTAGCTCCATGTACTATAACAAATTTGCTTGTACAGTTATCCATCTTGTATACTGGGATACTTGAAAAATGTATTTTGAGCTACATCTCACCAAATTTGCCATTTGGTGTCTTGGTCACAGTAACCTTTAGAGGATATTCTGCAGTATGCTTGTTTTCCATATATTAAAACAGTTGTTAGCACTTCAGATATTTAAAAAGTTCCTAATTGTACTTGAGTTAATATATTTTAATTATATCAGTTTAATGGCTTCCATTCCAAGTAGATTCGTCCTTGAAGTATAGGTCATGTGAATTCTGTGTGAGAGGTATGTGTAAGGCATTGAAGTGCTAGACACGGGATTTTTCGGTGTTCTAGTATGATTCTGTTCTGAAATTTCAAGACACCAACTGGGGATTCAGGGCACTGTCTGTACGTGCCAGCGCCCAGTGACACCTGTGATTACAACTACAGAACTTGAATTATAGCAGGAAAGCAGAGCTTGTATACATCTTTTGATGCATGTTCAATAAGTCACATGGATGGTTGGAGAGTGGAGAACTACGTGTAAACTGATGCATGCTCTGCATTGTGTCAAGGACATTCAGAATTTTAGTCACGTTTGTATACATCTTTTGATGCATGTTCAATAAGTCACATGGATGGTTGGAGAGTGGAGAACTACGTGTAAACTGATGCATGCTCTGCATTGTGTCAAGGACATTCAGAATTTTAGTCACGTTTGTATCAGAATATAGGCTTTTCATATATCAGAAATAAGTACCTGTTTAAAATCAATTTTAATTCTAAGAATGTAAAATTTTCAGCAATGATTTCTAATCTACGTTTGAAAAGAGTTTTGAAAAGCTAATGTAATGGGTTATTTTAAGTAATATCTATAATGTAACTTTTTATTCTAACTTTAAGAAAATTAAAACTTTTGTAATTAACTCAATGTTTTTTAACTTTGCCATGTGAAGAAATTAAGGCAAATGTGTTTAAACCTTAACTACTAAGATAACTTATGATATGGTACACAGGCCCAAACTATTCTATTTGTTTTAGAAAAATAAAAGAGTATATTATCATAATCAAAAGCTTTCATTCAGCATGAAAATACTCAAATTATTTATTGTCAAAGTAAAATTGAGGTAAATAAATTCATAAAACCTGAATTGATAGAGAAAGTAAGAGCTCTTCTCACCATGATTGCTGTTTTAGCCTTGCAATATACAAATTAAAAATTTAATAAAAGCTGTGTTGATGACGTTAGGAAAACGTGTATGTTCCATACAAAATATGAAACCCTATAATCCGAGCCCTTCCAAAAGGTGAACCTTTTTCAATATCAACAGGGGCATACATCCCCAGTTTGCTCTTGTTGAAGAAAGGTCCATCTTTTGAAAGCAACTGGGTTATAGGATTTCACACTTTTGTCTTTAATAAAAGGAGTTTGTACCTTACAAGCAAGATTATTAGAAAACAAACTGTCTACCACAGATTTAACTTTTTAATAAGAGAAGAGAAATTTAATAGCTCATTCATCAATGAACTGAGAGTTTAAATAATATTTTTAAAGCATTAAGAATATTTAAAATAATCAGTTTTATTAAATACATTACTGATAAATATTTACATGAAAAAGAACTAAGCACAACCCAGTGGTTAGCATGCCAGACTATGGAGCTTAGGTTCCATGGTTCATGGCCAGTTACCACCAAACAAAAAAATATTGTGCTTCACATTTTGGGGTTATAGGTGCATTGTAAAAGTGATAATCAAATCCACTTCAAAATTAGGGTTTGGTTTGTTTTAAATTTCATAAAAAGCTACACGAGGGCTGTCTGCACTAGCCATCCCTAATTTAGCAGTGAAAGACTAGAGGGAAGGCAGCTAGTCATCACCATCCACCACCAACTCTTGGGCTACTCTTTCACCAACAAATAATGGAATTGACCATCACATTATAATGCCCCCACAACTGAAAGGGTGAGCATGTTTAGTGGGATGGAGATTTGCACCTGCAACCCTCAGATTGCAAATCAAGCACCCTTACCACCTTGCCTAGTGTAGAGAGCCCTCATGTACCTTGGCACAAAATACAACTTAACAAAATAATTAAATTGATGAGATCCTGCTATAAACTTGGCAAGAGATAATTTGATTTCTGATTGATTATATGTTTTAAGGGGGACAAAGGAGAACCAGGACCTTCTGGCCCACCAGGTCTTCCAGGCTATGATGGTCGAAGTGGACTGCCAGGAGAGCCAGTAAGTTTTCATCATTTTTGAAATAATAGACTAAAAGCAAAATATTTCCAATATCAGTTTTTTTTTGTTTTTATTGCATAGTTCTGTTTTGAGAGAAGAAGCTAAGGCAAAAAATCAAAACAAAATTTATATTCATAATAATAATACAATATATTTTGTTGGTTATGTTTAAGTGATTTTTCTTAATTATAATTATGACATTATTACTGCTTTTATGGATCTTAAAAAATTGGTCTTGTTACATACTCTTGCTACTGATACTAAGTTTGATTCGTTTTCTGCATTCTTTCTGCATTTAAATTTGAAATCAATAAGAATTTCATTTCATTGTTGAAGAAAAAATGACTAAAATATTCACATCATACAGTTGTGATTAGTTTACTCTGACGACTTCATTGTGAATAAGCTGCTTAAATTAGGTATTTTTATGGAACTTTATGAGAATAAGGAAGTCAGTTTAAAATATTAGTTTATTATCTTTTTTGGGTTATTTAGAATTTTTTTCTAGAACACTGCTATAGTAAGTTAAACTATTAAACTACTGACCTGCAGCTGCAATTTAAATTGGAAAGGATTTACTTTATAATTTTGTGATGATATCAAACTTTTATAGCATGGCATAACATCTTGGACAACAAGGGATCATTTTGTCCTTCAAGGTTGTAAAAATTTAAATCCACACTTTATTTATCAAGACATCATCTGTTCACCTCTTACACTCTTGTAAAGTGCTGGCCTCTGTTTCTGACAATATCAATTCATTCCATAAGCTAATCACCCTGTTAGAAATATAAAACTGTATTAACTGGAGTTTAATCTTTGCATTACAAGTCCTAAACTCTTGTCTTCATAATGCAGCACAAAGAAACTAGAGGCCTTTATGCTAATGATTCCCAAAATAATCTTGTAAACTTCAATAAGATCGCATCTTATCCTTCTTTTCTCAAGAAAAAAAGTTTAGAAATTTCTATCTATTTCTATAAGATAGCCCTTCCATCCCTAGAATCATCCTAGTAACCTCCTCTGAACCCTTTTTGGCCCGGCATGGTCAGTTGGTTAGGGTGCTCGACTCACAATCTGTGGGTCGCGGGTTTGAATCCCCTTCACACCAAACGTGCTCGTCCTTTCAGCTGTGAGGGCATTATAATGTGACAGTCAATCCCACTATTTGTTGGTAAAAGAGTATCCCAAGAGTTGGCAGTAGGTGGTGAAGACTAGCTGCCTTCCCTCTAGTCTTACACTGCTAAATTAGGGACGGCTAGTGCAGATAGCCTCATGTAGCTTTGTGCAAAATTCATAACAAACTGAACCTTTTCAAAAGTCATTATCTCTCCTTATATAAGAAGACCAAAACATTATACAGTATTCCAAGTGAGGCCTAACAATTACTTGTATGAAAATACACTACAACAATATTTTTACTTCAGTTATGCTAATAAGTGAATTCCCATGTATACTAAACATTATTTCTAAATTATGATAATCCAAGTGACAATATTTCACCAAAGTATTTGTCTAACTTACCAATTGGTCTAAATCATGCTCTAGTATATAAGATTCTCAGTAGAGTTAGAAATTCTAAAGAATTTGTTGTCATCAGCAGACTTTATTAATTTACTAATTATGCCCTTCCAATATCATTAGTGTAAATAAAAAAAAAAGGCAAAGGTAAAGCACTGACACCTGAAGCGCACTGCTAGCAGCAAAGGTCCAGTTTAACTGGACTCCATTATAATAACATTTTGCTTTCTGTCACCCAACTATTCCAAAAACCATTTAACTAGTTTTTCCCCAACCCCTACTGATCTAATATTCTTAGTTAACCTTTTGTGTGGCATCTCATCAAAAGTTTTTGAAAATCTAAATACACTAAGTTCACACATTTTCCATCTTTCAGATAACAATTAACATCTTTGAAAAAAAAGTTAACAGTTCTTTTTCATATAATTGTAATTATAATTCTGGTAAGAAGATGTATAGTGTAATTCCTGTGCAAATGTCAATAAATATCTGAACATGTGGTCATTTGATCAATTATCAGCTCTTAGCACATTAACCTTTAGCAATTTGATAGTGATACATTTTGAAAGTTCTTTTTAGATTTTATTAATGTCAAAAATTGCTGACTTTTTGTATGTGTAAAGATTTTCTGTTAATCGAAACACTGAGTTTAACCTTAGAGAGCTTGGCATGTTGTAGATCTGATTCTGATATGTTTTTTATTTTTGTTTTCTAGGGTCCACCAGGTGAACTGGGACCAGTTGGACCTCCAGGACCAAAAGTTAGTGCCCAAAAACACCTCGTTAAAATTTGATATCTTACCAAATTCATGTTATGAAATTTATTATAAAACAATTTCTTAGGAATTGTTTTCCATTTTTTATCACATTATGTAATAAAGTAAATTATCTCAAAGCAAAAATGTAAACACTTGATAGTTTGTATTTGTATTATTGTAGTTCCACCATCTTGTTATTGGACCTAAGTACTTTAATGATATTAAACATCTTTATCTTTTAGTCAGCCTTTTAATTTTTGTATAGAAACATTGAACAATTGTATATAAAATAATGATTTTTTTTATATATTTTGCCTTGTTCGTTACAAAATATTCCTATATGTATGTATGTATCATTACCATTAGTCATTTGGTTTGGCAAGTACTATTTATTTACCAGGAGATAAATATAGATAGTGCTTGCAGTTGGCATATTAGTTAGGAATTCAATAACGTTTGGTCCTATCAAGATTTTGTGTGTGTAATGTGTATTACATCTATCTAGTATTACATAATTCTGGCTTTTCATACAAAACTCATTGAAACTTTCTATTGTATTATAGGGGTCTCTTGGGAAAACTGGGTTGCCAGGAGCAAAGGTAAGCTATTAGATCGAATTTGGCTGATGATACAAAAAAAGTTTATCAATTATTTGCAGAGTAGAACTTAGAAATATGAAACTAGTTTTTCCTTGAAGAGACATTTTACTTAAATGTATTCTATATAGAGGAATAATTTGAGTTTTTACTTAGTCCCAAGGTATATTAAATCTCTTTTTTTTATTAACATTTTATTTGTAGTTGTTTCACAGAGGTTGTTAACAACAACATATTCAAATGTTGCTTGAAAAAAATTTCTTTAAACAAGGTTCATTGCCAGTACGTGTATGTTAGTTTGTCATTTTATCTTTATCAAAAAGGTTAAAGGCAAATGTTTTCTAGAAATTTAATCTTTTTTTATATTAAAATAATATTTGTAAATTTACACTTTCATCACAACTGTGCATTCTATTAAACTTGGTATCAAAAAAAGCTATACAAGGTTTTGGCTTATTGGCGGTATTATGACTTGAGAAATGTTGCCATTACTTCCAAACTGTTAGATGTCTTTTTTATATATCAGACAGAAGAAAACAAAATGTGTAACTTATAAGTGCTTATATACATATCAACAAGAGTTTGCTCCATAAAAAGAACATATAACTGAAAAAAAAACAATAAATAATAATAATAATGTATTATAAGACATCAAAGATTTTTTGGCCCATCAAGGATATCTTTATTCCCAACCTTCCTCAATAAACAGAAAATTAATTCCTAAATTCATCCCTGTTCCCCATTCATCAATTCTTTTCGTAATCTCCTGCAAAGCTGCAGTTTCTACATTTTTATATTGAATTTTCCCCATACACTTATTACTCTTTTAGAGAAATAAGACTGCACCAACTGAAGATGTGTCTGATCCTTCTAAATCTTAAGTTTATGACCTCTTTTCCTACTGCACTCAGAAGTCAACACTAAAAAATCTGATCAACTCTCTTAGTTAAGTTAAATACTCCAATTATATTGACCTCTTGTATAAACCAATACCCCAGGACCCTTTCTTTCTCCATATAATATATGCATGACTTATATTATGATACCCACATGCATAACCTTACACTTATCATAATTAAATACCACCTGATATGTGTTTGTCCAACTAACCAATCAATCAAAGTTTATCTGTAAAATCACAGCATCCTTATTACAGACAGTCAAACCTGAGATTTTTATATCATCAGCAAACTTAACTAATTTCTCAACAATGCTTGTGTCTGTGTCATTATTATTAATGAGGTGTAGCAATAGTCTAAGCATAAAACCTTGAGGAATGTCACTTGTTACATTGGTTCGGTTGGATTGAAGTTCATTAATAACAAATTTTTACTCATTCTCACCCAGACAACCTTCAGTTCATCTTAGCTAACTTATTTCCAACTTCAACTGAGGTAGTTTTTGTCACTAATGAAACTGTTATGTGGCTCCTCATTAACAGCTTTTTGAAGATCAGAATAAAATACACACTCTCATTTATCTTCATCCAAATAAGAAGTAACATCCTAAAAAAGTTGATAGGTAAGGGAGGATCTTTTCTTTCTAAAGCCTTATTTGCTGTCATCATGTCCAAATTTTCTGATGATACAAAAATGACAGGCAGAACTGATTTTGAAAATAATATTTACTTCAGAAAGATCTGTTTAATGATTTCACATTAAGAACTGTGTTATAACTGAGAAGTTTAAGATAGTAAATCTCAAATGAAGGAGTTGTGAAACACTTACCATTTTGATAAGGGGAAAAAAGGATTTCAGCTTTCTGTTAGGTGTTTGGTAGGAGAAATGAAATCATATTTAATGAAGGGAAGCAATAAATAATTTAAAAATTTCATTCTACAACAAAAGCGTTATGCAAAGTGAGGCTGCATATTTATATTATAGTGTATTTCATTTTTGTTATGCATGAGTGATAATGTTATATTCACCACTTTTAGGGCACTAAAGGAGAGAGAGGTTTCATGGGTGCCCCTGGACTACCAGGACTAGTTGGAAAACCAGGCTTACCTGGTATTCCTGTAGGTGTAATGTTCTAAAGTTCTTTCTCATCGATTTGTTTTTTGTCAAAAGGTCTTTTAACTTTTTAAAGTTTCTATTTTTTTTTAAAAAAGACTTGTAATTGGCAGTCATGTGGAACTTGTTATAATTACTGTGTAACTGTGGTAAAACTACAGATATTGTTAAGCTAAATATCTGAATGGAGTTACAAAGTGGATTAGAAGTCCCATGATCAAAAAAGGGCAAATTGAAGATACTAGAAACTAGACTAAAAGGATAGTTTTTAACTTAGAATAAAATGTTATAATGAACTGGTGTTATTACAGTAAGTCCATATCAGATATTTAGAAAGAAAGCTTTTCATATTCCAGGTATATAATTTTGGTATATAAAGATTTCTTCAGCAGCCATATAGTTATCTAAAAATGTGAACATTACTTTTAAAGTTTTCTAAATCTAAGGTACTGTCTATTGAACATACCAGAAAAAGCATGTTTTAAGGTGGACAATGTTTAAACTATGTTAGAACTTAAAACCTGCAGTAAAGTATGATCCATAGAAAACTACACTAGTTTTTGTTCTCACCTTGTTTAACTAAAGTTGACAAAACTATTTGTAGCATACCTAAAATTATGCTGCCAAAAGCCATCTCAAATGTTTACTAGAAATCTGTTAGATTTGTATGAAACAGACAAAAGGGATATACTTTAAATATCAGTTGTTTTATGTTTTGCAAATCACATTGAACACTTGTTGTAAGTTTTCAATTGTATCCCTTTTAATGGTTTTATATGAATTTTATAGTCCCTTGGGATATATCCATTTTATTTATCAGAATAAATATGTTACTTCATGAACTTTACATACAGAAATACTTTGGCCACTGAAAAAATTTCCATAATCTATGATTTATCCATGCTTGAAATAATTAATATTCTTTCATTTCCATAGTTTCAAAACTCAGATAAAATAAGTGTGTTTTTTGTAACTTTTTTTATGTTTTTCTTAGAACCGTCTGAATTTAAATTGCAAGACAAGGTCTTTTTTTTTACATTTTATGAGATGTTACATTTGTGCCAAAAACATCTTCAAAATTAGAAATTAGGATTGGATGTAGAAATGTTTAAGAATTCACTAATGGTACTAGTTTTATTAGTCATTGTAATAACTATAATTTATTTACTAAAATACACAACTCAAATGGGTGAGAAATGTTTTATATTTGTATCATACTAGGGAGAAAAAGGAGATAAAGGGTTAACAGCAATGTTAGATGGAAGTTCTTTTCCTGGTGGACTTATAGAGGGTCCTCCTGGTCTACCAGGTCCAATTGGACTTCCTGGAAGAAAGGTTTGTATTGACATTGTATACTCCAGTAAAAGTAGATTTTAGTACAAACAAAGGTGAACTGGGAAGCAACTGCCTAGTTCAGTTGTAGAGAAAATATTTGAGTATTCATCCACAGAAGGAAGAAAGGATGATGTTTCAAAATCGTTTTGTCTTTCATCTATAAGTGTAACTCTGAACTAAGCAGTTGTTGCCCATTTGACCTTAATTTCATCATGAATACTCTGCCTAAAACATCTATAAAAGAATAGATTGTAGTAGTCTCAAATCCTTCACAATATTATTAATTTCCATCATTTTAATTTTCTTTAGTTTTTCTTTTTATTGGGGATATTTATGTACTTATGAGTTTGTAAAATCTGCTTAAGTCCTTCTTAGCTATATAAATATTTAAGTTATTAATCTGCACACAGAAAATAAATACTGTAACAACAATGTCAAATATAGCTTATGAAAAGTTTTTAAAAATTCAATTAATGTATTGGAAGGTGTGTGGTATTCTCAAAACCATGGATTTTCTATAGTTAAGAATGCTAAGTGCTCAAACAAGAGGTTTGACAAAAAAATATGGAATGTAATTGAATTCTGATCTGACTGGACACAAGTTTCACATAGACACAAAAATACTTTATTTATTACACAAGGCAAACAAATTAATTAGTTGATGAATATGCAAGACTAGAAAGATCTGGACAAGACAGAGCATATTAATCACTATATACTTATTTGAATAAGGTCAACCTTCCTAAAGTACATTTGTCACCTACATCACTTGGTTAGTCCCATTATCAAAAATAGGAAAAACAGAGTCTTCAGGTATTTATAAACCTCTATACAACTAGTGTGACAAGAGAACCCTTTAATATAAGCCTAAGGAATTCTTGAGCAACATACAGAAAGTTTCAAAAGTATCAGAGGTAGGGGGAATCACCCTTGACATTGTGTGACTAGCATAAGAATAAGACAGTGTGCAAATAACTGGATTGCATTTGTGTGTTAACATGTGCCTTAATGTATGTAAGTGAACAAAAATTTGATGAACAAGAAATGAACATCTCTATAAGCTATAAAAGAAAGAAACACCTGGAGTGTTTCATGTACTACAAGTGTATACATGTAACAGTAAAAGTAAATCTGTCTTGGCCATATCTGAAAGAGTAACTTTGCTTTTATCATTGTCTGTCAGAAGTAGATCTACATGTAGTTTGTTCAGTATCTGTACATATTGGAATTAATTTGGTTAGTATCAAGTTTTAAGAACTTAGTCTGCTCTTTCAATTAGCTAAAATAAGTATTGTCTGTATTGATCACTGTCTATCAGAAGTAGCTCTGTCTTGTTCAAATACCATAAAGACTAGATTTACCGTGATCAGTGTTTTTTAAGAGTAAACATGCCTGAAAAGAGTAGATATGCTTTTGGTGATGTCAGTCTCTGAGGAGCAGATCTGTTTTATTTAGTTTCTGTGAGGAGTAGATCTGTTATGGTCAACATATGTAACAAGTGATTATGCTCTAGTCAGTGTATGTAAGGAGTTAATCTGTTTATATATCTGTAAGGACTGGATCTGCCTTTGTCTGTAAGCAATGGATATTACTTGGTCGGTGTCTGCATATTGTTTTTTAACTTTGGTTAGTGTCCATAACAAGATAATTTGTTTTGATCAGTATATGGGGTAAATATCATTTGTTTACAAGGAGTGAATCTGCTTTGGTAGTGTCTGTAACCATTAGATTTACCTTTTAATATTTGTAACAAGTAAACCTGTTTTGAATAGTGTTTTTAAGCTGTGTATCTGCCTTTGTTAATATTTGTAACCAGTAGATCTACACATTTTAATATTTGAAATAAGTAAGCCTACCTAGATTAGCATTTATAAGCTGTGGATCTGTCTATGTTAATATTTGTAACAAGTAGATCTGCCTTGATTAGTGTTTTTAAGCTCTGGATGTGCCTTTGTAGATCTGCCTTAGTCTGTTAAATGTTCTATATAAAAAGCTCTTAGCCACCTTGTGAATTGACAGAAACAAATGCTGTACTCACATTTAATTTTATGGTGTTTATCTATAGAGATGGGGATTTCCAGCAACATTCATAATGAATTCTTAGTAAACTTGTTCAATACTGAATACCAACCTAATTTTGAGACCATAAAATAATCTCCATACAAAATTCTAGCTAATATGATTTTCTTGAGAATGAAGTGGATATTTATAAAAGACAAAGCTGTTATCATGTAACATATTATTACTCTTCATATAGTTTATCTGATATTTTAAATTAAGTGTATAAAATTATTTCATTGTATCAACTGGATTTATTACAGAAAAGTTTTAAAAATCATAAATTTTCAGTTTACTAAAAAAAGTTTATAGAAATAGTTCCATAGCTTAAAAACAAAATTTATTATTTATTTTGATAAAAATGTTGACATGTCTTTTAAAAAGCTATTGATATGTGTACTTTATTGTAGGTGACCTTATTTTGCAAATGTTATAGAAATTGTTTAAGAAGTAGAATGGCATTTCTTGTGATAGTTTGTTGTTGTAGAAGGTAATAGAAGAATGTACTTTATGGTGGATATCGTGATTTGAAATAGTTTTTTAGAGCATACAAAAGAGTGAGGTTGAATGACATTATATTTACACTGTTGTTGAGTTGAATGTTTACAAGATTAAGTTCTAATTTAGTAACAATAGTGTAATTGGTTCGAGAGTACCTGATCTTTCTGAAAGGTTTGCCCCTTTAGTTGTATAATTTTAATGAAAATATGCTCAGATGATTTTAGATTGATTTTACTATTATGACAAAACTTTTCAACATCTAAGGTTTGCCCTTTAGTTGTATAATTCCAATGAAAATATGCTCAGATGATTTTAGATTGATTTTACTATTATGACAAAACTTTTCAACATCAAAGGTTTGCCCTTTAGTTGTATAATTCCAATGAAAATATGCTCAGATGATTTTAGATTGATTTTACTATTATGACAAAACTTTTCAAGATCTGCAGTGCTTCAATAACTCAAATGAATTGGGTTTTAGTTTTTCATTTCTAAACATTGTCTTCTGATATATCACAAATTTTTTGTATAAGTAGAAACTAATGTATGAAAATAATCATGTTACTATGACTATAATGAAAATATATCATCCCTCAATAGGGTGAAGTTGGTCCAACAGGTCTACCTGGAAAATGGGGAGAGAAAGGTGAAAAAGGTGTTCAGGGCAAGAGGGTAGGAAGAGACAATTCTCTTGTATTTTGTGTTTTTTTATCTTAGTTGTTGGTTTATACAGGCTCACAGTTTGTATGCCATAAGTAAATGTGTGTGTATATTAACTGCTAAAGTTTGTTGTGCTTGTTGGGAAATGACAGGTTACAAAAACTTATGTTATCATAAAATGTGAAGTTTTGTTCTGTGCTTAAAAAACACAAAATGCTTTATAACATGCAGGTAAGTATTATTCAATGCACTGTAGTGAAACGTTGTTGTTAAAATGTTTTTGTTACTGTATATTATGTTTTGTACACATTTGATGATGGATTTTTAATTGATGTTTGTCTTGAGGTTTTCATATCGTATGCAGTTATCATTTGATTTTGTGAGACTGGTATTATGTCTTTTTAACACTTTTTCAAGTACAGAACAAATACACTTACATGAATGTAAGAAAGGAGTTTTATATTATCACAAGACAAATGTGTCAATCTTATGAATTTATTTGCCACATACATTTACATTTTAATACTTTGTTTATCATTAGTCTCTTCTTACCAGAGAGCCATATTTGGCAAACCTGCTATTTCATTTCTATGCACAATATAAGTATAAATTAATAAGTTTTCTTTCCACTGAATCCAATGATGTATAGTTTATAGAGCCCTTCTTTGATATAGTATACAATAAATCAGATATTATTTTTTTATTTCATCAAATTTCTAGTTTTTCCTGGTTCTTGAGAATGAAAAATACTTAGTTGGGAAAGGGTTAAAGAATTGTGGTGTATAAGTAGGAAATAGGCAAACAGTTTTAAATTCTATAGGAATTCTGTTTAAATAACCTTTGTCCAATGACAAGCAAATAATTAAGAAATAGAGTCTTAGGAAAATAAATGTTAATGGTATGAAATGGAATGTTGTAGAGCTAGCCTGTGGCAATATCACTAAGGTCATTCAAAGTAATAATCTTCAGTTAATGATATGAAATGGAATGTTGTAGAGCTAGCCTGTGGCAATATCACTAAGGTCATTCAAAGTAATAATCTTCAGTTAATGATATGAAATGGAATGTTGTAGAGCTAGCCTGTGGCAATATCACTAAGGTCATTCAAAGTAATAATCTTCAAAACTTCTATTAATATGCATCATACAACAAAATTATCAGTTGTAATGGTGTAGACAATAAAAAATGAAACATTTTAAACCAAAAATTATGAAAATCAGTCTACAACAGTTATACAATAAATGCACATGAGATAAACATCATAACAGTATGATGAAATGGTGGCAAACAATAAGTAGCTGTATTCATGTTTCATTCATACTTAATTGTGACAAATCCCAACATGGCTACTTCATTGTCAAGATTAATTACTAAAGGAACTTGTAGTATATATGCAGCTGTTGACATGCTTTTTCTCTCATCTGATGTGAAGGATGGCATTTATCTGGGATCCTTTAAGCATACAATCTGGCAGCAACCTGGACATTCTGGTGACACTCTCCATACAGTATAATGGGTTAAACTGAATACTCTTGAGGTATGTTCAGGACTCATCCTTGGCCCAACATTTCTCTCATATAACCACCTCCCTTCAATTACCAACTCTTTTTTCTTGGTTTTAAGTCCTCAGAGTTGTGGAAAATTGCATATCCTCAAAAACAAAGGTGTTGTAAACTTAACACAATAACACAAATTTAGTTTGTGAAAAGGAAATAAAAGATACTGGATACAATGAACAATATTTATGTACATACAAACACAATATTTGTATTTGCTCTGGACAATGGACTTTGCTTTCACAGGTCATGAGCTGTTCTCTCTCAAAACTGCACTCAATGATGACATCTACCAGATTGACCAAACCTAGTGTTACTTATAACTCAGTAATGTCAGACTTACCATTCCAATTCAAACTTAAGGAAGGTATCATCTGACCTACCATCGGATGACACTGTTGTTTACATTCTTGCACAAGGTGTAGTTTTACAGCCATACCACCCATGGGCAGATCAAGTGTTATTTCAAGAAAATGAAAATGAACAAAGGTAGCTAGAACAAAAGCATTTTCTGACCATGTATTACGTGAAAATAGCAAATACACGTGAATAACTGATAAATTTTGATTAATTCTATGATATAACAAGAAGGTTGTAAACTTATGGTATGTTTATATACTACACTGTACCATTGAGAGGATTTGGGAGCAGCTGCAATATAATGATTGTGTAATAACTTGTGTATGGGGCTTTTATTTTAACATTTTGGACTCTCCAAACATGCAATCACCTACTCATGCAAAAATTCTGCTGTATCTCAAACCTAGCGTCATATAACAATATTTGCTGTGGTCAGATTTTGATCTTCTGTGGTACAACTCTATGAATGGATGGCCTGCATTTATATCTATAACTGTTGTTATTCAGGATCAGTGTTGTTAATTTTTTTGGTTTTAAATGATTCATTTATTCTTGTCTACATCTTTGCCATTGACATTTTGGGTGTATGATACACATTAATAAAATTTCTAAAGGATATAACATTGAAAATAGCTGTTGGATATACAAGACTGTTTATTTTAAGGGTTATTATTTAGTTTATTTAGTGATTAAATATTTAATGATTATTTAGTTTTCATAACAAGGACATTAAAAGTTATTTGTTTGACAAGCTTCATTACATAAATCAGTATGAGTCATACATTGTGTGTGCAGTTTAATTGTTGTATTAGGCTTTAGTAATATTGTTGACATCATCCTACTAGAGACTTATAGGTTTTCTCATCATATGTAATATTGTTGCTACTAAAGGCCTAGAATTTTCTGTTGTGTGATATAAATATGTGCAAATGCAGAGTGAAGTAAGTAATTGAAAGTAAAAGTGAAAAATGTGAAGGTAGACTCTGTGATTGTCAGTTTAGCTGTAATGGGCGATATCTAAAGTGAATTTCACAGTTTGTAACAACAGAGAATAAGAAAAATAATTTTTCATGTAAAAGGGTGTTCTAAAGTAATTGAACCCACCTGTGTGGACTTTGATGAAAAAGAGAATTATTTAAAGCTCTAGATTCAACTGTGGTAACGTTTTTTTGTACATATGTTTGACTTGTTTTGAATATATTATTTTAAAACAAGTGCTGTCTGTTTATTGTTGAAATTTATCACCAACAAGTCACAGACACCTACTGTAAAGAATCTGGCCCCTATACAAAAACCTGACAATTGCCGTGAATGACTTCAATGATAATGTAACAGGGTAGGCTCAAAACAACTCATTCCATCCTACTAACAATTAATTTTCTATACCTTTCCACTTCAGAATTATTTTTCTGTCAATAAACTACTGAATTACCTTGTATAATAAATATTTAGATGGAGATAATTGTTTATACCACTAATATATTAAAGAAAAAAATTTGATGAACAAGAAATTTGTATTAGAAAACAAATACTGTATAATTAAGCCTAATACATCAGGTTTTTTCAGCTTTACTTTGGAAACATTCTTAAGTGTAAAGGAGTAAATAACTACATTGATATGTGGTTAAGTTCCTTCAAACTTTTTGACTCATGCTAGATTTATAACTATCTTATTTTAGAGCCTGTATGATTTTTATGTTTTCTTGTTGAATCTTGTGGATTTTATTGTTTTTCTAAATGTTCTGAGATCTTTATGTAACCTGTTGTATAAACAGGGTTCCAGCTCAGTTCTAGTGATACATGTATATAGTGAGTGAGTGTTTAATCATATTAGATTAACATCTTTTTTCATTTAATACAGGACCAACAGCATAATTGGTGTATCTAGTATTATGGAGTTTTCATGAAAAAATATTTTGTTAATTTTTTTCAGAAACATTAATATAAAAAATAATACCACAGAACCAGATTCAGATCTGTTGTTGTCCAGTGTATGGAAGGTCTTGCCCTCTGCTATCTCATTATATATATTCATGATGAAACTCAGTTGAATGAATGGCAACTGCCAGTTGTAGAAACACAAGTGTACAGGATGATGTTTCGAAAGGCAAAAGACTAAGTTTCATCATGAACACTCTGCCTAAACAATCTATCAAAGAATGTATAATCATATTTACAAATACTACATCAAATATTGATCCTCTTTAGGGCATTACAGTGCCACCTATTGTCTGTATGATATATTACTAACTCATAGCTTTTGGATTATTTTGGGGCAAACATTTCTCAAACAAATGGAGGGATATGATGACTATAATAAGATTCTTACAAAACTGTAAATTTTTAAGAAAATATATATATCTATTGTGTTTTTTATTGTCATTTTTATTTTTGTATTATTATTTAAATTATTATGATAGACTTTTGGGGTCCATGCATTAATCCAACCCTGAGATAAAAAGTTGTTATGGGGTTGACAGTGTTAACTTCCTTGTTTCCTCTTTCTACTTTTGTCCCCCAGTGGCACAGTGGTATGTCTGTGGAATTACAACGCTAGAATCCGGGTTTTGATACCTGTGGTGGGCAGAGCACAGATAGCCCATTGTGTTGCTTTGAACTTAACTTCAAACAAATCAAACTCTCTCTCTTTTATTGGTTAAACAGGTTGTTCCACTGATATACAAAGTAGAAAAAAATGATAAGTTAACATAACTTAAAATAAAAAGACAACAAAGAACCTTTTTGTGTTTGTCTGTAATACTTTAGGCAGCATGTTCCATTTTTACTATTATAACTTTTATTGTCTACAGATTTTATAGAATAGTTTGTTTATAGCTGTAGACTTTTTCCATCCATATAAATTTATACATCTGTATTGATTTATTGCTTTATAAATTGTTCATAATTATGCTATTTTTATACTCCTAGGTTTGTATTCCCAAGGTTTAAAGATATAGTATTTCAAGTAATTATAAAGGTATCTTTTTCTTGTTTGTATGAAACAGGGAAAGCGTGGGAGACATGGGAAGTTCGCAGGAAGAGGAAAGCGTGGTCATCCTGGTCCTAAAGGTGACATTGGCCTTTCAGGACCTAAAGGAGCCAAGGGTAACATTGGTCTACCTGGTATTCAGGTAATAATAGGAAACTTGTAGATTTTATTTTGTGTATTAAATGATGAAAAGAAACTCGGTATTGTATAGATGAAAAACTGAAGTTTGACTTCTTTCTGAATATCTTATTCTACCAACTTCCCACAATATCCCAACATTAATTGTGTGTGTGTGTGTGATATCATGATGGGTCTTGATTTTTGAGCACTCAGTCCCTGGATTGCTATGAACAGCATTTCAAAAGTGTTTCAAGTTTGTTTCGTTTATTGTTGTATTCTCGTGATGTTAAGTAGAGAGTCAATTTCACTTTATTCATACTTTGTAACAATGATTTCTGTATGCTAATACAATAGTGTGTAATAGCAGAATTGAGTCATAATGTCATGGTTACATATTTAATATCTGGCAAAATCCCAACCAGTTGAGTGTAATGCCACTACAGGTAGAATTATGTCTGAAGTGTTGGAGCAGAAGTGGGTCAATGTGACACATTTAGCATCTGTATATTTGAATCTTGGGAAAATCATAACCAGTTTACAGTGTAATGCCATGATGGATATATAGATTTAAGGCTGGATTGATAGTCACAGCCCATTTCATGAAAAGATATTCTTATGAGATTGTTAAATGATGTACATCCAAAGGATATAAGATTTCAAAGAATGGAAATTTCATTGTTCTCCAAGGAAATGGAAAAATTCACACAGCAGATTTTTTAAGAATAAAATAAATAAATTGGCAGATGCTTTTCATCAGTAGTATATACTTTGTTAGGCTAGGAAAGAGTCATTGTGGAATTAGAATGTACAAAAGTTTTAATTATTGACATGTTACATGAGGTTTGTTTGCAAAAATATTATTGAAAACCAATATTTGTAAATGTAATAATATTATCAAACAAATGTTACAAACTGTTAGAGTATTTAAAACTGATTATATGATTATTGAAACTATACTACACAATTCTATTTAAAAAAAATAATAATATGAATTAAAGCAAGTTAAACTGAGGAAGCCTCGAACACCAAATCATTTTTCAAATGAACACATGTCCCTCACAGAATTAATAGAAAATGTACTTTCAGTTAATTTTTTATTATTCTTTCTAATGCTATTTTTTTTTACCTTCCACTTTGTCAACCACTCACTTTGAAATGAGGTTACTTAGCATTTATTTGTATGATCAATTTCCCTTTTAAAAAAACCTTTATAAGTTTTCCTATTTAAAAAAAAACATGTCACAGGTCATTTTTACTATGGTACTTTTGTGTAAGTGTGCATTTTATTTCTTTATATATATTTGTTTATTTATAATTATTATTGTTTTAAAATTAGATCTATGTATGTTCAATAATCTTATAATCAATTTTAAATATCATGAAAAGCTTGTCATATTTTCTTGCAAACCTAATTGTTCTTACAAAATGTGTTCAACAGTATTCTTGCAAATGTGCTTAACACAGCATGTCAATAAGTAGAACCTTTATAAGTCAAAACCTTGACTCATTCTTAGTGTTAATTCTCTCTGTGTGCTTCCTGATCCAAGGTGTTAGCCCAAAATGTTATGAAACAATGATGTTTTCATCTAAAGTTCTGCATTAACTTATTTATTTATTTGATTTTTTTTACTCAGAAAATCATGTACTTGTGGTATATTATACACTCAAGAATGTTTAGGATAGAAGTGGTGATCTGAGGCAATGCTTTTGTTTTCAGATTGAAGGCTATGGTTAAAAAAGTGAACCCTCTGATTGATAATAGCTGGGCATGTCTCTCGATACCATTAAGTAGATAATAAACGAGGATTTGGAGTTGACAAATGTTCACAAGCCTTCAGCCCCACCTCAAAAGTAAATATTGTGTTCTTTAAAAAGATGGCTGAAAAAACAAGTCTCAGCAATCCCTTTCAACTTCATGCATGTCAAGTCTCTTGCTGCAACTCAAGTGAATGCATTTTTGCCTTTTTTCTGCTTAAACATGGTTTTGGAAGCTGATGTTCACATACAATAAAGGGATTATGGAAAGTTTCTCAAAAAAGTGTGGTCTAATATTGACCTCTTTGTCTTTCAGAGAAGCTTATTACAATGAAAATTGCAATGTCAGACAGTAGACCATAATCATGACCATCAGATAGAGTTTGATAGATGATGGAAGAAGTACTTCAAGAGGAGCAAAGAACCTGAAATTAAATTAACTCTCATTAGATGTAGGACATTAAATAGTATGTTAATGTTGAGCTACGTTAGTAAACAATTTGGAAAGGAAGCTAATACACATTCACATGTATATGCAAACAATGACTGTAAAATATGCACAATGAAATATGTATGTTATGTTATACTTTTGATTAGATTCATTATTCTTAAAATCTCTTTCAGTTTTCATAAAAGGTTCCTTTATAGAAATTAAACACTTAGATAATGAAGTCAATGTTACATATGTATGTACTGATTTGTCATTTTAATAATGAGCTCCATCTAATATCAGGCTAGACCATCTTTCACTGGTGATACAGACTACAAAATGCCAAAATTTGTCTTATTAAGGTGTAGTCTGATTTGGGGGGGGGGGGGGAGGATATGATTTGCAGTTGGTTTATTAATGATGATAGAAGACTGAAATGGTGAATGCAACATTCAAATTTATTTTAGAAATTATCACTTGTATTAAGTTCTGGTTATATTGTTAACAAAGAAAACTGGTTGAGGATTCTTTAGTACATTTTAAATCAGTTTTGGAGAGTACATACATGATTGTTTGTTTCATCAATGTTGAAAACTGCCTTGTCCATCAAGATGGAAATACAGCATTGTGAGATGTGTCTGATTGGAAAAAAGGTTACATACAATCTAGATGTTCTTTGTCCCTTTTAACACCCATTGTACAAACCAAGGTAACATATAGTAGTATGGATCTGGTGACACCCAAAACCCAATCATCCCAGAAAGGTTGTTTTAAGGTGTAGCTAACCTTCTCATGTTGAGTGAAAATAGTCAGTACTTTTTGTTTAAAAAAAATAACAACAAACAATGAAAATACAAATAATTCTACAATTTATATGTGAAACTAACAAAATCTGAGTATACACTGCAATCTGTATATATAGGAAGGCAGGATTACTGATTACAGACCTTTCCAACAATTTTCCAGTGCTTTTTAACTTGGTTTGAACATCATTGGAATCACCATTTCTTAAGCTGTTTATTCATTAGAAAATTTGGATTGTTGACAGAGTAGCTACACTGTGTTTTGAAAACCTTCCACAATTTTGTGGACTTAATGTTAATTTGATACTCCACAAGTAAGGATATGATAACAGTCTAATATTCCCTCGCAATCCCATTTCTTCTCTTACTTGACACATTTCCAGACTTCCAATACTGAACTATCAAAAAAGATATTTTTTATTGTTGTTCTGCTTTTGTATACCTTTGGATGAGGTTCCAGGACCCATTCTGTTAAGGCTATTTTCAAGACCTCATTTATACATTTCCACAACATTGTCTACAAATCTTGAGCTATACTTCTGGCCATAGACTTAACCATGTGCTGTCATCAGAGCCCAACTGGGCAAAACAGTCTAAAGAAATAGCATTCCACACTGATCTTGCTTCTCGTTTTGGGTCTTTCTTTGAAACTTTCCAATTAATTTGACTGCTACTAAAGGTACAGTCTGTAATACTCCCTGTAATTTCATTTACAGTTATTGATTCATCTTTGTTTACCTTGTCGATCACTGTGTCTTCAGTGTCAACATCATTCCCTTCCTCATCTTCAGGCATTACAACCTTAGCACTATTGATATCACTCTGCTCAGACTTCATTTCAGGGTCTTCCATTTCTGTTTTACCAGCAGGTTTGTATGTGTTTTTTCTGCATATGCAGGCAAACTGTCTCCCATATCAATCGTTTTTGACATCATGCCTGAATATGTCAATACTATTTGATGAAAAGATGATCTAATTAATTCTCGACACACTGTCAAAAACTTGGAGGCTGCTTTGTATAACATAACCAGCTCATTTACTTTTGATTTATTTACAGTAAATATGTAAACAGCTGTGTTTTTTAGTCCTCCATTTGCATCAATCAATTCTTTTAGGAAATGCAACATTGCTGCCTATATTCACATATTGGACGGTGGGTTGCATGAGTTGATTCTTTTCCATCTTTGGTCTTGGTGTGAACAAATAATTGTGTCTGTATCTCCAATTCTTTGGTTATCAGGTACATTTCATATAATAATTTTCTATTTTGATAGCATTTTGCGTTGTCTGACTGGACATGAACGATATGAATGTGTGGATTATCTACCTTCAGTTGGTGAAGGATGCATTCAAATATGGAAAGCATACTCATCCAATCTTGCTTAGAATAGAATCCTTGGATGAAATATAATCATAATAGCTTGTTTGAAAAGTACATACATCTACATCACCACGAACCATGGGACCATGCAAAGACAAGCCTTTTTACTGCAAAGTTCAATAGTCTTCTACCAAAATAAACTGGATTGAATGTTTTCTTTTAGATCAATACAATTATAGCCTCACAACTTGATAAATTGTACATCATTATCTTGATTCGAAGGCATTGATTCATTACTTGAAGGCAATGAGTCATGTACAACTTGAACTTGTGCCTGCAGTCATTCAGTAAGTCATAATGTTTTTCATCTATCTTGATCTTCAAATATCTAAACTCTTCAAAATGCGGTTTATACAGTTTGCACCTATTACACACACACTTGTTGCTTTCACTTTATCATTGCTGAGTGCGTTTGCAATATTATGATTGGCATCATTAGAAGATGTTATATGTTTGTCTTATGTTGTCTTCAGAAAACACTCCATTTTTCTAAGATGTTTGTGACATTCTTCCACCATCTAAGGGTCATGAATAGACCCAATTATTCTCTCAAGTACAGCTAAAATAACACGCAGAAGAATACCTGATGCCTAATTGATGAACTTTGATATCAGAATCCATCAGTGAATTTGCAATTTTCAAAAATGATGAATAACCTATATGATCCAATCTTTCTGAATATTCAGTGAGGTAGTCCCGATAAATGTATTTCAGTATTTTCATTTGCATAAATCATGGTAGATTTTTTTCTCATTGTGAACATTTGCAATCTTTATGTCCCTTGATAACATTTCAATATTCTGAGAAAATAAAACCAGCTTCACAGAATGTTCCACCAGATGTTCTTCATGTTGATGGACAGTTCTAACAGTAGGAACCTAACTCTACCATTCTTCAATAAAATGAAACATTTCTGGGATATTTCAATCACCTTATTTCAAATATTACAAAATTCAGAAGTTCGACTTGTAGGTATAGTTGCACATAATGCAGATGGCAATACCTTTTTTTTGTGTTGATTTCTCCAGTAAGTTTTCCTGTGCCTGTACCAAATTGCATAGTATTTTTCGTTGTGAAACATGAGAATCACTCAGGGTCCTGGAGACATTTTCCAACAAACTATCAGGAAGTATTGAGATGATGTTGTGACATACTCGTTTCAATGTTGCAATGCAAAATGACATAATTCTCGCTCATTTTTCCATTTCCAGACAGTCAAACTTTGTGGTTAGCTGAATGTGTTCACTTGATATGTTATTTATGATATCTTTTTTATTGAAAGAAACCTTTCGATTTCCCACAATGTAAGAGATTTTAATGTCTACTTTGTCTTCAGCTTTATCGTGTTCATTATCTTGCACAACAGAACTGCTACAATCTTGAGCTAAACTGTTCAATGTCATCATATTGTCGGGACTATTCTGAGCTTCTTCCATCTGCTGCGTATCTTCATTGTCTTCATCCTCAATTTTCATTCATCAACTCTGCATAAAGAAACCACTGCTTTTTGTGCTCTTTTTCTTTTAGGCATTAACATCATTGGCTATTCATTCCAATTTCGTTTTGATTGACAATCCATCACATTCACAGCTGCATCCATTACACCTGATAGAGTCACTGCAACATTTAAACTTGCACTTACACGTTAAATAACTCTTTTATTTATGTTTTTATTAAAAAGAAAAGCTTTGATTGTTCAACAAACTCAAGTATTCAAGGCTCTAGGCCCTGGGCTTGAGGTGTTCCTGGTGTGCCTGGAAGTCAAAATTAAGGTAAATCAATGTGAATCCCATATGAAATTTGTATGGTAAAGAGGAGATACTGGAATGACTTGATTTTTTTTCTGTAACCAGTAAACTATTACCCTGGCTCGTACAATGGGTGTTAAAAATTGAACTACCCAATCTCTGACACAAAAATATTCCTTACACCATTAAATCACCTCCAGGGTTTTCTCTATCATTTAGCTTTACTGTTAGTACAGAAAGGACCTTCAAGTCACATCACATACATTTTGTACATTTATTGTCCACAATCTATATTCTCACCATCACTGAGGCCATGATATCCTGTGTGCATTGAGGTTGAGTACTTTTAGCTTTATTGTTAGCTGCCATTTTTCAGTTTTTGCAATGTTCTACACATGATATGGTAGAAGGTAGTTAAACTGAACCTCCATTGAAAATATTTGTGAGCTGAGACTAAAAAGGGAAATTTTTCAGAATAACAGTTTGAGTAATTAATTGCAGTTGTTTAAATGTGTCTTACTGTTATAGGGTGACATTGGACCAGCAGGATTACCTGGTAGTGATGGAAAAACTGGAAACCCTGGACCTCAAGGACCTCCAGGATTACCTGTGAGTATTATGATTGTTTTTCTAAAAAAAGTTATAATTGCTGTACTTTAGCCACATCTTTGAGCTAAAACTAAGGACAATGTACATCAGTGATTAAAATCACATTTAAATTTATGTACATCAGTGTAATTTATTTGTCCAATGGTCAATAATTGATATGCTTACTTTCAGTTGTCATTTAACCAAAATATCTATTAAAAATTTTTTTTCTCATGCGTTTTTTTGAAAATTCAAAAACAGTGGAAGAAATAAAATAAATAAAATGATCTCCATTAAAATTATTTTTATAAATCTTAATCAAACAGTTCATAATTACATTGAAATCATCTACATTTCTGTGGCTATTGTGGTATTTGAAATGCTAGGTTTGTCTTAAACTTATTTAAGTCTGATATCAATATTTTTAGTAATTTTTCAGATTATTGATGAATCTGTTTGATAAAAAGAATTTGATGCTACTTTTCTGATATTAAAATATCAACTAGAAGGTTAGATGTTCAGTGCAAAAGTGATAATAATAATAATTATTTATTTAATTTAAATAAAATGAAACAGATAATCTGAAATAGCTCATTTAAATTGTTTTAGTATTAATGGAAGTTAACATGTTTAGATAGAATGAATTATGTAGGAATTTCAGTGGATAATGCTGAAAAGTGACATCTAGATATTTTCCTTGATAACTTATTAAATATTCTACATGTTATTGAAAGCTTTTTCTTGTATTCTGTAAGATTTAGTCAATCCATTAATTATACTTCAATGGTTGTGTTTTAAAGATATAAATCTCATCATTTATTATACTCAGATTTCACTCAAACAAAATAAGATAGGTAAAATCAGATTGTGCCATATTTATGTATGTAAAGTATTGTAGTATTGTGTTTTCCCCACAAGAATTTTGAAGTAGTACTTTCAATATACAAGGGCATACATATCAAGTTCTTATTTGTACTTCTTGACTCCTTAAAATACTTGATATATTGCTGTCAGTGATCATGGGTATGAATGTTTTGTTCTTATGTCTAACATGAATCTTTTCACAAAAGTTTTGGTGTAATAATCTCTATTGTATGATTATTCACAATACTTTTGGTATTGTTTATTTAAGATCCCTGTCAGTCGGAAACCCACCCAAAATTACAGCCTTTTCACTGTAAAAAAATTTAAATTTCAGAATCATATTTTATGTGAAAAAATACCATAAAAACCAGATAACACTGCTGTATATAAATTCAGCTGTTTCAAAATCCCATTTTTGTGAGGCACAAGTATGATCGAAGTTACGAGAAGGCTGGGACCATGTGAAGAACATAAATCCAAAAAGAAAGGAAGCTGCGAGTCTGTGAAATGTGTTTATGTTGTGATCCTCCAGCTAAATGTACAGCAAAACATTGCCATGTTATCCTCCAAAGTAGACGTGGAGTAGTGCAAAAGATCCAAAAACCAGTAAAAAAGAGAAGGATGTTCTTATGGAAATGTGTGCTGAAGAGAGTGTTTTGGACATTGTGAGATTGAAAACCTACCAGAACAAAACTAGACACATGTTTATTCTCACTAATTATGCTTTGAAATTTGTTAATAACACCATTGGAACTAAAATAACTAATATTTGCTAAAATCAAAGTATTCCGAATCTTTCCTTTGATTTTCTGGGAAGTTGGGAGGTAGCCAATTATTTTCACCTATTTCTCTGCGACATAAAAAGATTTTTAAATTCTGAAAACTGCTCTCACCTTTTTAGACCATTCCATACCCATTATGCACTTTCGTCGTTTATTTTCGATACTTTTTAACAAAGTGCACACTGTAGCCCCAAGGGTGGATTTCTTGCTGATTGGGATCTTAATAATCAAAGTCTTGTACATCGGTAATTGAACTGAGTAAAGTGTCTCCTAACAAAACTTGTGATACAGTACCTTTTATGGGCAAGATCATGTATTTCAAACCTTGAGCACTATTACATTTCTACATACAATACCCTTATTCTGGTAACTTTGAAGACTAAATCCGTAAAGCCAGATTCTGTGATTTACTCTTTGTTTCCTTCTTCTCCTAGTCATTTTCATTATATATATATATATATATATATTCATTAATCAACATTATGTTACAGAGTCAGATATAAGTTCTCATAGTGTCATTCATAAGACTTTTACTACAATGCCTTCAGCGATCACCATCATTATACATTGTAAGTCATCACAGGTTCAGTATTTTAAGTAGTAAAGCTCATTTTAGACAAGAGATGATATATACTGCTTTGTTTTCAGTGTTCCTTCTATTTTTATGTTTTAAGTATTGAAAACTTACACATTTTTTTTTCTAGGTATATTCTTGCTTAATACTTCACATGCAACACAGTAGGACTTCTAAACATTTTGTAACAATTTCTTTATAAAATGTTAATGAAAATAGTTAAAATTTGTAAAACAATTAATAAATTATCTTCCCTTGTAATTTTTATAGAATGTGAAAAAAAGTAATTAAAACTCAAAATCTTCTAAAATAATGTAGCTATCTAAAAAGTATAATATAGTTTGTTACAGCACTAAAAGTTATTCTTTTGGGGTCATTGTACATCAGCTTATTTAGGTTTTTCACATATTAAGATTTTTTTTTACTATCAGGGACAGCCAGGACCAAGAGGTGATAAAGGGATCATGGGACCTCCTGGTCTTATGGGTCCACCTGGGCTACCAGGTCCACCAGTTAGTATTTTGTTTTTTTTCTCTATTTTCCTAAATTGTAAAGTTGTGTATTGAATTGCATATGTAGTATACTTGTGAATGTGATTTAATCTGAAACTTTATATTGTTGTTTCTCATGGCTCAAAACTAATTTGAGTGGTGGTATGTTATAATAAGATAACAGAGCCTATGATACTTAAATCCATAGATTATGTGCTACATAATTCAGTAAACATCAAGTCAATTTTTGTTTCAAGATTGAAGTAGGATTAAACCAAAATTATGTTAGAGATGACCTATCAAACCTATATAAAAAAACTATATAAAACTTTGATTTCTCGAAATAGGAGGAATCATAAAAGCCAAAATGCATTTATTTAGATAGAATGCCCCCCAGTGGCACAGCGGTATGTCTGTGAACTTACAATACTAGAAATCGGGTTTCGATACCCATGATGGGCAGAGCACAGATAGCCCAATGTGTAGCTTTGTGCTTAATTGCAAACAAACAAACAAACCAGATAGAATAGTTCGATTACTGTATGCCCATTACAATTTTAGTGACGGGGTGCAAGGGGCCATAAGGGTGGTGCTGTGAAACCTTATAAGTGTAATGAATGTTGGTATGATAAGCCTAAAGTAAAGATGTAGTGTGGGATCACCTAGCCTAGAGTCAAGTGCATAAAATTTATCATGATAGTAAAATTATCGATTCAATTTTAAACTTAAATTGTTTCTGAATTAAGCTATTTACTGTTATATCACCAACGTTTTTAATAAAAAAATAAAACCTCTTTAATCAAAGGAGACTCTAAATTAAGAAATCAGCAAATATTTTCCCAGTTTTGTTGTCTATACATTTCATTTTATACTTTCACTACATAGATTAACAACAATAATAAGTTATACTTTTGTTGCTAAGAAACATTACATAAAAGCCATTGTTGGAAGTTAGTTACCAAAACACACTGGCTTTTCAATATATTAGAAGTTGTTAATCTTAACTGATTTTTACCAATAATTAGTCTATGAATATGCTGCAAATTCATTTCATGAATGATCTTAATTTTGATTGGCTCACAAAGGAATTTACTGATGTTTGATTGCATCGACTGCACTTTTATGCCTCTTTGTTGGTCAAGCTTGCTTTTGCAAAATTAATTTATTATGGTTAGCTATGAAATGTGAGGGTAGGATATACTAGGGGGTGGGGGTGGTAGTACTTGCCCTGTTATTTGTGATGGGCTATACACTAGTTATATATAGAATATAGTTGTTGATAAAGTTTTAAACACATGAAACTTTTTTTCAAATAGTTTTTTATGCACTATTTTTGTGTATTATATACCTGTGTATGATACTGTAGAAAAGTGTTATTATGGTTGAACATAAATAAAGTTCTGGTTTTCTCCAGAATTAATTACCAGACATGTTTTTTCATCAGTTTGCTGTTTTGTAAGTAAGCCTGGAAACTTCATGCACTTCTCAAGACATCAATTTTCTTTTTGTTTTAAGTTTACTGCGTATTTTAATATTTTGTTGATTTTTTCTTTTTTCTTATTTTTCTGTGTAAACACTGAAAAAAAAGAAAAGAAAATTAAAGCTGAAGTTTATAGTTACTTATTTGATACTTCTTGTATCTTCTGTGTTATAAAGCATATTGACTGTTATTCCTGTTTTATTGGTGTGGAATTATTCTAATTTCCTGTTTCCAAAATATGACTTGCTGTTTAGTAACCATTGTTATAGATTTTATTTCGGGTACTTAAATGCTTTCCACATTTTCTATATTTTTATATCTAAATTATAAAACTGTGGTTTTACTATAGATGTGTCAATAGTTTGATTGTGATTACTTTGGAGAACATGCAGTCTGTTCATGTCAGTTGTCATTAATGTTAGAGGGAGAGGAACATCAGTAGCTTTTGGCAAACAAAGAGTAAGATAAAGGAGTAGGGTTTAGTATGGAAGTTATATGATGGTTTCATCAACTTGTGTTTTGTTTCCAATGACTGGGTTTTACATAACATTGGTATTATTACATCTACTATTGGATGTGACTCATTTGACTCAAAAAGTATAATTTTTTCTGTACTTTCAGTGATGTATTTGGGGGAAGGATAACTTTTTTATTTTTATTTTTTCACTTGACAGACTTTATTTACATAAGGATTGTATAACTTCTTTCAACAGGAGGCAGAATGCATGCAAACACAAAATGTTTTTGTTATATGTACTTAGGTGAGGCAGTCATCCTGTTACTCAGCACTGACACTACTTTTTCCAGTAAACCATACTAGCTTTAACTGCAGCTGTATTCCAAAAACTTTTTTTGTGGTTTAATATGGAACAAATTTACAGATCCATACTTATATCAGAACATTTCAGAAATGTTTGCAAGACATTTAACATTTGATTAGAAGAGGTTGGAAGAAAATTACAAATTTTCATGGAATTCCATCCTTATAAGTGCAGGTGTAGTGAATTTTTCTATAACTGATTTTTACTAGTGTTATGAAATACTACTTGTACACAGAAATCTTATTTTCAGTAGTTTTAATAACTTTGCCCCTTGGTGGGTCAACAGTAAGTTTACAGACCTACAATGCTAAAATCCAGTGTTCAGCTCCACATTGTGAATAGAGCATAGATAACCCATTGTGTAGATTTGCTAAAAAGAAAACAATAATAATAACTTTATATGGAAATTTTTACACTTAATATTAAGTCTGTTTTTTGTGTCTATTTAAAAACTACAGTTGTATAATATTCTTGTGATCAGCGGGTATTTTTATTGTATGTATGTATGTATGTATAGCAATTTTACTTTTGTGTATGTGTAAAAATGTTCTCTCTTTATAACATTTATAATTAGTTATAGAATATCATTTTAGATTTACCTTAAAATGTGTTTCTTTATACAAAAAAAAATGTTTTATAGCACTTTGCCTTATAAGTTGTATATGCACGTAGCATATGTCTTTGGAACTCCAAAATTGCCACAGTTATGCATATGGGTTATAGATTATGTTTAAAAATACTTAACATAACATATCATAATGTTTAAGGACAACAAGGGACCTACTGGTCCATCTATGCTGTTCTATCCTCTAAACTCAACTAAAACTATTAAATTTAAAAGAAAAATTTTAAAAACCTCAACGTCAGCCCTTATCATTCATATAGTTATCAAGCTTTTTCTTAAACTTGCCTAAATTTACTGCCTCCACAACATGTGAAAGCAACTTGTTTCAAAGACCAACCACCCTGTTAGAAAATTAAAACTGTCTTAGCTGAAGATGACTCCTACCCTGCCAAAATTTATATTTGCATCCCATTAAATATGAAAAAAGATGATGTATCAACACTATCAATTTCAGAGATTTTAACCTTTCCTCATATGACAGCCCCTTTATCCCACACACCATTCTAGTAGCCCTCCTCTGAACTCTTTTCAACAACTCAATGTCTTTATTAAGGTAAGGAGCCTAAAACCAAACACAATACTCCAAATGTGGCCTAACTGGTGGCCGATGCAATGAAATTATAACCTCTTTGGATTTGCATTCAATATTTCTATAGATACAACCTAAAATCCTATTTGTCCTACCACTAGCAACAGCACACTTCTTGGATGTCTTATGAGACTGATTAACCACTACACCAAGATCCCTTTCTTTCATATATAACACTGTTAAGGTTATTACCATCCAAATTATACTTATAATTCAAATTATGATAACGCACATGCATTATTTTGC